GTGTGTGCCGTGCTTCCGTCCAGTTATTCCTATGTGGGTCGGGCTTTGCACCTGGAAGATGAGTGGTCATCAGAGTTGTCTAACCACAGCTGCCTGAGGACCATTCTTCGAGTGAATTACACCGACTTTATCTCAAGTGAACCCGTCCGCAGTCGCTTCGACAGCACTGCAAGGATATCTTAGGCCACCTAGCAAAGACAACTAAAGCGGTTTATGCACTTTATCCGTCGTCCACCTCACGGGATCAGTTATACCGCCCTCGATCCGATGTCGTTGCCCACCCGGAGGCCTTGAAGAAAAAATTCAACTTAAAACCTGGCTCGCCTCAATTTGTCGTGACTTAGAAGTGGTTTTCGGACCTTCACTGTTGGGTTTCCGTCGCTGTAGAAGAGAATGGGCTGATCTCTCCAGATAGGCTGTTGCCAGTTGGTATGCATAGAGAGATACAATCCGTCACAGCATCGAGGTTGCCTACATCAGATCTGATCACAGCCGTACGCAGCGCAAGTACTCATTCCGTTGCGCTCTGGATTCCAATTGCTTCTTGAGCCAGTGGCGTCGAAAAGTACGTCCGGGCGTTGTTTGCTGCCTGTTTTGTCAGTCTAGTGAGTAACTCAGCCTCGTTTACTGAGCTGTGGCTGACTATGGCCATGGGTTTCACATTGTCTCCCACACAGCGGGCGCAGCGCTGGTAACTTACAAGATGCAGATGCGATCCTTTTAAGTAAAATAGATGTAATTATACTACTAATGACAAGTGAGTAGATGTTTATATTTACTCGTATCGACTATTCGACGCCCTTCATCTGTCAGCGGCTGATAAACAGCGATTGGTCCACGGTGATACACGTGGTGATGCTGCATGATAGACAGCGATTTTTCCACGGTGCTGCACATAGTTCTACTGCATGATAGACAGCGATTGGTCCACGGTGATACACGTGGTGATGCTGCATGACAGGCAGCGATTTTTCCACGGTGCTACACATGGTTCTACTGCATGATAGTCAGCGATTGTTCCACGGTGAAACACATGGTTTTGCTGCATGACAGACAGCGAGTGTTCCACGGGGCTAAAAATGGGCTTGTTGCATGATATTCAGCGGTTTTTCGACGGCAATACACAGAGTAGGGCTGCATGATAGACAGCGATTGATCAACGGCGCTACACATAGAATTGCTTCATGATAGTCAGCAATGGAGTTGTGGAGATGGCCACAATGAGTTCAGGTCTGCGTCGCCAAATTGTTGTG